ATAGGTATTGATCTCGAAGGCCCGAAGAGTCACAGTTGTTTATAAACTTTTTCACTTTTCACCACTGAACAGTGATGGGTAGGTACCAGGTTATTTTAAACAGAGGCCTTGGTTTCACTCCCTTACTTGGCAATCACCTAAAAGCATTCATTCACATTAAAAGTCTATTGATTAAACACAAGAAAGAACAAGAAATCAAACCAGGCCTTTTTATTGAAACTGTGGTTGAGTGATTGTGCAAAGCAAACTTAGTCAAAACCTTTAAAGCCTTTCTCCTTTTGACAGCAAACTATCAAAGTCCCTTACTTTCAGAACAAGCTTTCTTTGATGAAACAGAAAAGGTTAATTGTACTCTCAGTCCTGATGTGTAGAGGGCATTTACTTATTCTCTTCTTAACAAACAAACAGACCAACTCAAGGTGGAGGAGAGACAGGATAGAAAAGATGCGTGAAATACAGCTTTTGTTGATGTTTTTGGAACACTGATTAGTCATGAGTGGATGCTTTTGCTTGGCAAGTTGGCCATGACACTTGCTGCTTGGATCCTGGTTTACCGTCTGCTCATGGACGTCATCTGATTGGATGTTTTCTACTTAGGGCTGGTCTATACTTAGCCGCTAGTTCGGCGGCTGGGGATCGAACTTCCGGGTTCGATTTATCGCGTCTGGTCTGGACGCGATAAATCGAACCAGGAAGTGCTCGCCGTCGACTGCGGTACTCCATCTCAACGAGAGGAGTACCGCGGAGTCGACGGGAGAGCCTGCCTGCCCCGTGTGGACCGCGTCTGAACCGCGGTAAGTTCGAAGTAAGGTATGTCGACTTCAGCTACGTTATTCACGTAGCTGAAGTTGCGTACCTTACTTCGACTTGGGGGGTTAGTGTAGACCAGGCCTTAGACAAGGCAGGCCTGGACGAATACAGCAGTTGGCTTTGGAATTTGATGAAAAGCCAAGAGAGAGATGATTGAAGGAAAGAGGGTGGAAGGGCAGCAAATAACACAAGGGAAGGGAAAATAATACAGGATCTTTTGTGCCTCTGCAGTACTGGCCATTGGCTATCCCCACTGATGGGCTGAGGATTGGATGTCATGATCATGTGATGACTTTCAGCACTCACGGGTGAAAACAAAGTTCCTTGAGCAAGATTGAGGCCAGCCAGCCTTCCTCCCAGGAAGAAAGTCCTAGATGAGTTGAGCTGAGTTGCAGTGCTGGCAGTTTGGGGGATGAGCTGGGATGCAAGTAGGATGGGAGATAAGGGAGAGCTGATCTGATCATGTTTTTTCCCCAGTCTCTTTTTAAGGAACCCGAAAAGGGGAAAAGTGGGTGTCGTAGTTCATCTCCTCCATTATTTTGTATTAGGCCTAATAACCTATGTTTCATGGCTACTGTCTTGTGAACTTTCACATATTTTTTACATTTGAGTTTACAATAGGGTTACACCTTGTAGGCCCCAATAGTCACAAGAAATCTCAAGGGAAAGGAGAGGTCCATTCTTTCCTGCCCCTGTGGGTAAGGGCTAAAGGGCAGGAGACACTGTAAAATACTTTTCTTCATGAGACTGTATTGGTGTTGATCATGGGAATATAACTACATTCACATGAAGTTGCCACCTACTGACAGAGTCTGAGAGGTTTCTGAGGAATCTGCGACTGGGGATGGAGTGTGCCTTGTTACAGAGACATAAAGAGTAAAAGTTTAGGGTTTGATGGTGGGGAAATATCCTTTACCCCGCCCCTTCTCTGCTGAGGGTTTTTTTTGGGGCGGGGAGGGGTGTCTCTTTTTCCTGGAACATGAATGGGTCGTGCTGCTCAATCAGCTGAAATAGAGATGGCGGGAGCCAGGGAGCTGAGATTATAGCTCATTATTCTGAGGAGGAAGAGAGAGGAGTGATATGCCCAGCGATTCCATTCCTACACCCCTTTTTGGGTACAAAACCAGATGTGACTAAGCACGACCCATCTCTCCTCCCTGGTGGGAGTCAGAGCTTCCTGCAGCCCCAAGCTTCCCAGCAGCTTTGAGAGAAAGAGTTGGAAGTTTCCATTAATTTGCCCCCTTCCCCCAGCAGTTCTGTGCCTCTCAACTGGAGGGTGGGTGAAGGTCTCGCCCCTTTCCTTTGAGCCCTGGTCCAGTGTTGCCTTCCAAAGACTGAGCCACTCAGGCCCCATGGTGATGAGTGCAGTGCCAAAACATAAGTGGATAGACAGAATCTATCCCTGGTGCACAGCTGGTTTATGCAATTTATTGGGGTTTACAAGCCCTTTACAAAAATTTAAAACAGCCTCAGGATTTGGCTGAGCGATATAGTGGTTGCTGTGTCTGAGATGGTAACAACAGGGCGCTGTGCTTGGATACAAGAAAATTGACTTTGAAAAATCATGTTAAAGAAACATTTGACTTAAAAAAACCTTGCATTAGGAAGGACACTGATGCTTATATATGAATAGCTACATCATCGTCATTAGTAGCAGAGGAGCCTCTCACCTTTTCTGAATTTAATTAGATGCTCTCAGCCCTGTCCTACAGGCCCCAACTGTGTGCACAAGAACAATTAAAAAAAAATCTTCACAAAACTTAAAATAATCAAATATTACCCTAAAGAACAAACCCATGAAAAGTTTGGGATTGAAATACTTCCCTGCAGTGTTTGCACCGCGGTGATCATGCATGAGAACCAGGAACCTGAAATTGACTATAAACAAAAATGAAAACCGACAAGTCTTCATTCTGGGCACCGAGTGAAGAGCAAGAGGGTAAATGGAAGTGAAATATCCTTTCCGCAATAACGTAGGAAGGCATTAGCAATGCAGGATTGCACTAACATCTGGGGTGAAATCCTGGCCAATGGCAAAACGTCCATTGATCTCAACGGGGCCAGTATTTCAGCCATGATTTTCAATCTGCCAGTATCCCTTCAACTCACTTCTTTACGCTATTGTCGTTTATATCCAGTGCAAGGTGAGTGCAGGATGAAATGATATGACCACCCAGTCGTATTATTTAGTGTTACCGTTTCGTGCCAATGAATAGCCCGTGAAAGGGAGCATTGGGAACCCTTCAGGAGTTGCGCTTGCGGAGATATTAAATTCAGAGTGGGAAGAAAAGTGGTTTAAAAATGAGGAAAGAAATCGGACCTTCAATCCTAGCTCGGCACTTTGGAAGGAGGTTCCCGATTCTTTCCAGGGACACCTGAGTCTAATGGGCAGGAGGATCGCTAGCCAGCCCGGCGCTTTGGAGAGGGCTGCCAAAGGGGTTTGACACAGGTGGGACACACATCTGCGGACGGGCGAGCAGCCCTCGCCCCTCTTCTCGTCCCTGGCTGTGCAAGCCCAGCAAGCGCTGCTTGTTAAAGCAGCCTGCGCTTGGCCAGCAGAAGGGGAGGCAGACCAGGGGGCTCCAAGCCGCTGGGACCCAGCGCTAGGTATCCATTTCACCCCGCAGCTGGAGGAGGCGTGGGGGCCTGGATCCAGCGGGGCTTGGGGCTTTCGTGGTGCCTGAGACAGAAACGCTGCGGGCATCAATAAGCGCCAACACCGTGGCTATGGGCCTGACCCTGCAGTCCATGGAAAGCCTCCCGTTGGCTCTAGCTGAGAGTTGGATCCTGTCCCGCAAGGGGCGTCGATCGCCATTGACACCAATGGGAGCAGGATGAAACCCAAGGGGAGAAATCACCTTTGCTCACAATTCGGTGTGGGATCAGGAGAGAGAACTCTGCAGCCCTCTGGAAGAGGGACTGGGTCAGAGGGGATGAATGCTCGAGACAGGCAACGGAGCGACGGGTATAAATGTAGCAATTCCAGCCGGTCGAGTTTATTTTTATTTTTCGAAAATGTCAAATTTCGACTTTTTTTTTCTCGAGGAATTTCCCCTCGAATGTTAGGAGGTTTTTTCCGCCCACGGGAAATACTCCTCGTTTTCTGACCAGCTCTAATTGCAAGATATTCCTACCCCTGGTTAGCTAGCTAGATCTGGATAATAGATACCTTCGTTTTAATCAGTCGTAACCAAACGCGGATGTGGGCTGTCCTGTAAAAAAAAATCAACACTCTGCAGTTTTACAAACACTTTAGGACTCGTTTTAATGATCTTACATTTGTCTATAGGTATATTATGTTCAGTTGCCACCAGGGCTGCTGGAAGCAGCATGGAGTAAACATGTGTGCAAACGTTTTCATAGACCTTAATTTCTACAATCGATTTAGTTTAACACGTTTGGATTTTGTGGATAAAAATTTACAAGGGAAAAATGCTGTGCCTGACCCCTCTAAAACAGCTTACATGAGTGTGACTGCATGCTGGAGCCTACTTTCATAGCAGATAATTTATTGATCAGCTGATGGAATCATATAATTTTCAACAAACTTGATACAAAAACTCAAAATATGAATGTCCTTGGTTTGACATGACTGTGTTTGCAATCTTGAAATACAAAATATTGGGTCGAAACCGTTTGGATAATATAGAAGAGCTATGAAAAAACGTAAGCGTTAGGACATGCAAAACAACACACACAATGATTTGATTCCAAACTTTTAACACATAACGGGAGTATTTTTGGATGCAAAGATTAGCTCTTGTAAAGTCGTTTTTTGGGGGAAAAAACGATGATAAATAAATAAACAAACAAAAATGTTATTCAAAGCATAAAGCCATGCAATTAGGAAAGCCGGATGTATAAAGGCTGTTGTGTCATTGAACTGGTAGTGGTAAAGTGTGTCAGAAAATTAGAAGTGGGAGGATCTCCAGTGGATGGAGCTGCCAATCAGGATTACCGGACCTTAGTTGTGAACTTTTCCCCCTTCCAAAAAGAATGAAACTTTAATAATAGATTAACTTTAATGACTGATTCCCCTCCCCCATCGAGTAATTAATCGGGCCCTTAAATCTTATCTTTCTAAGAGGGCCAACGGTATGTATGTTAAATATCTGCATAGTCTATTGCACTTCAAACAAATAAGCCAAACAAATGCGGTTTACATTTCTCGAAAATTTAATGATTCTTAATAAAAGCCAACTCCCCGGAATGGTAATGTTGGATGTTGAATTTCGAATAAACTATAAGGTTTTTTATTATTATTATAAGTTGAGATATATCATAAATATAGCCAGAAAAGAACATTAAAAGCATTGCTAGAGTTTGTTTTTTATTCCCATGCTTTTAATTTTGAAAAAAAAAATCACAAAACATAACTTATAAAACAATATATACTGCATCCTTATCCACAACAGCATTATTGAAACATCCAGCGTTACGTTTACCACAGATGTGAAATACACTGGGAAAGGACATACCTTGTGCATTTTATATTATGTTTCTTTGTCATCTACAGGTAATAAGTATCGACAAAAATAAGCAACAAATATGCCTGCAATTAAACTTCATATGCGTTTTGTATGCGTATTAATATTTAAAAGATCATATTTATCATTTCCATTTTTTTTTGCCAACAAGCATCTACATTTACATCATAACACCTTAAGATTATTTTTGGTTCCTTGTTCTTCCTTCACATCTAGAAAAACAAGTAACTTTTCAGAATTGCTAAGCAACCTTTCATCATTCGAGACTCGCTCCGTGTCTTTAGTAGAGATGCAGTATCAGGATTCACTTAATGACAGTCCATTTTTTGTCCTTAGTGTTTTTTTTCTAGACTCTCTAGAATTTTTTTTTTTTTTTTTTAGAAAAACACTTTTTAAGTAAAGATGACTGATAATTTCATTATCAGGCTAAGATTTTGGATGGAGAAAAGGCTGCCCAGTTTCTTTTTTGTGCTCTTCTCAGAAAAGGCGATACTGCAGTCCTTTGGAAAGGCTAGAGAGGTAGGAACCTGTAGCTTGCTTAGTCCTAGGAATGACTGGATCGTAGCTTTCAACTAAAGAAAAAACATCAAGAATCATGCATTTTAAAAACATTTTATTCAACGGCCAAGCACAATGATCTGGCACAATGTAACGGCAGATATAAATAGAACCTTATTTAAGTGGTTGAACCTTGTCTTTAAGTTTTTTTTTAATAGTTTCATACCTAATATTTTAACCATATTCCCGCAGAATTTATTCTGCACGTAACTTTTTTTTGTTGTCAGTGGTAAACATTAACCAAACCTCTTCCCCTACCACAAACTGGGCAGCACAGCCCCAACCTTTACCACCATCCATCCACCCCCGGCTTCCCCTTCCACTCTTCAGCTCTATAATAAAGTGGACGCTTTAGAAACTCCTGTGCAAGTTCAAGTAAACACATACAACCCGCATAATCCAGAGGAAAATTGCAACTCATCCGTGTATTAGATTTTGGCGTCTCTTGCAAAAGATTTCTGGTCCGTGTTTGTTTGGTTTGTTACCAAGCCCCCAGAGCTTCCTCTCTCACGCTGCTTGGGCCCTTGTTAGTCCGTCAGCTGTTATACTGGCAGGCGTTTAGACTAGATCCTGGGCTTTGCAAACTGCTGTACCCGAAAGTGGAGTGCTGCTTGGATTTCAGTCTGAGACTGGCCAAGCTGGAGTTGCAAGTGTCTCTGTACACGCTGTAGGGCGAGCCCGGCGGCCCGTAGGGGCAGGCGGGGGAGGACATGGCAGAGTTGAGGGAGGAGCCGCTGATGTTGCTGAGGTTGTTGATGTTGTTGAGGTTGGCGTTGGCCATGCCGGGCACGGCCGAGTGGCCCATGCTGGAGGGCATGCTCATGGAGGAGATGGTGCTGGGGGCGGAGAACATGGACTGCGAGGACAGGGGGCTCATGGAGTTGAAGAAGGTGAAGCTCTTGGTGGAGAGCGGCGCCGGGGTCAGGCTCTTGGTGGCCCAGTTGTTGTAGGGGTAGCCGGGGTACATGTCATCGTAGGGCTGCATGAGGCCGCTGAACTGGGGCACGTAGCCGTTCTTGCACAGGTCCATCTGCTGGTTGCGCTCCCGCTTTCTCCACTTGGCTCGGCGGTTTTTGAACCAGACCTAGGGGGGAAGGTCAGAGTAAAGGGTAAGTGCGGGAGGCTCCTGCAGGGACCCGGGGAACGCAGCCCAGGGGGTAGCTCCGGTTTGGATTCTCAGAGCCTCCGCCAGGAGCGGCTTCAGCTCCCCACACCAGGGAGGATTTGCAGAGGAAAAGCCAAAGATTTGCAGTGGACAGTCCCTGGCTCACCCTCCCTGCCCTGGGTGTTGCTTCTCCTGCCCGCTGCCCCAGCCTGCCCTGCTGTCCTCTCCCTAAATCCCATGGCTTGTTCCCCCTGGCCCAGAGAGAGGAGTCACCTCCCCAGCCCAGCCCCACGCCGCGGCTCTGGATGTGTGCGCAGCGCCTCGCTCTGCTTTTAATTTACCCCTGCTTGTCGCTGCGCTTCTTTACAGAGAGCATTAATTGGCCAGGCTGCAGCGCCTCGCCCCGGCCCTGTTCTGATTAGTGCCGGCTAGCCCGGCTCGGCGGTGTTTCCGAATGCTAAAGCCGGACAATAAAAGTCCTCTGTTACAGATCATAAAATGGGGATTGGATTAGTGTGTTTAGGTTTTTTTTTTTAAAAAAAAGGCCTCGCCCTTTGGGTGGAGGCAGCCTGGGCCTTTATGTCTAATGAGAATGTACAGCCCTGAGTCGGGAACGGAGGAGCGAGGGGCGCTCATGGGTGTTTGAGGCCCAAACCTCATCCAGGCTTTATCTCGAGGGCAGTGCTGGAGACCCCCGGCACCCAACCCAATGCATTGCCCAGAGAGCAGGAAAAGCCGGAGCTAACTCAGACCAAAGCAGCGCTCCAGCATTGCGTGGCAAACTTTACTGCAGGGTCCTGTTGGGGTGGGGTGGGGGGTTGGGGGGCGTGCAGATTTGATGGGATAATGCCCTCCAAAGATCGGGCTGGCCAGGTTGGGGAAAAAATCCTCTTCCTGCCTTGCTGGGTGAGATCAGCCGGTGAACTGTCGTCTCCTTAACTCTTTGATAAAGATAGGGCCGTTAGAGCCACTGAGGTTTGGATCAGGCCCCTCAAGAGACATTCCCCACGGCAGCGCTTGCAAAATCCCCACTAACCCCAACGCCGCGGATTTTAACCCCCCCTCTAAAGTAGGTGACTCTTGTGGCGGTGAGGCTCTGCTCTTTGAGCCTGTCCTCCCAGCGTTTTTAATGGCAGGGCTTTAGTTTTAAATAGCGATAACAAGGATCGCGGGGTCTATTTGAAAAAAAAAAATCCCGTATAAATATGAAGAGGAAACGAAAGCCAGAATGTTCAAAACCTGTAATTCACTCCTCAGAAGGTGCTTCCAGACAGGAATTTCCTGAAAACGAGGGGTAATCGTTTTAATTATGGCTTCTAGACATTTTAAAGGAAGGCCCTCGTAGCAAATGAAAGTTGGGTTTGCAAAACTGCAATCTCAGAACATCAAACCAAAACATCTCCCCATACAGAGGGGAGAAAGAGATGCAGTTAATGGCAACTCATATTAGTTTTATTTGCTTCCTGAAATATTCCAGCAACATAAATGCACATTTTAGTCCTTGAGTTGTGGTGGTTTTTTTTTTTTTAACGAAAACTGCAGTTAATACAATGCTTTCAAATCCAGCGAATATTTAGCCCTGAAAAGCCTTAAGAGCTAACCTTACAGATAGTCTCATTTGGTCAGCTAACCGGTTACTCATCTAGACAAAAGTGGCTTTTCTGAACTGTAGGGGTTTGATTTGTTACCAGGCCCTGAGACCCAGAAGTGAAGTGACTTGGTTAAATCTACCTCCATTTTCTCCTTTATTTATTATTCGCTGTGCTGGTGAATTTCCAGAGAACGGTTTAATTCCCCCGTCCCAACCTACTAGTTGCTTTCTTGCTAAGGTCTCAGTTCAAACCGCCCCCCCTCCGCCTTGGGGCCCTATCGTGCTACGAACGTGTAAAGCGTATTTCAGTGCTGGAAAATCCAGACCCCCTTTAAGGACTTTCCAAGATGCAGGATTGTGTATGCCTTTCATTTTATGGTGTATTGTGTCACACTGTGGGTCTGCAATTGGTGAGGGACTGTGTAGACAGGACACCGTGAGTAAGCAATACACAGCAGACACTAATACCCCTGCCCAGAGCGGAGTATAACCCGGTCAGCAAATCCGCTCTCGAAACAAACCGGGATAATATCCCGGGATGAAAAACAAATTGGAGGCGGGAGGAAAAATACCCCCAAACAAAAAGAGCAACACACAGACCAACCCAGCACAAACGAACCATCCGAATCAATAAAATCCGAATCCCAGAAGGAGCCGTTCTGATTTGACATTTGATTGCAACAAGTTAATATATTAAAAATAAATAAATAAACGACCTAACTAGATATTCTGAAGTCGCATTGGCTAGAGACCTATAAAGCAGGGACAGCTCAGTCCTACAAGTATGTGTGTCTACAATGGTTATTGACTTTGGAGTTTAATCTAGCCCAGACCCTTGTCCTTTCGTTTGTCTATTGACAGTTTGTACAGTTTACTAGTACAAATAACTTATCTGCCTCATCATAGAAGTTTAATTGTGTAGAGGAACATTTGCTATATGCTTGGGTGTGTACATTGCTCCGAATGGGGCCGTTACACACTCCCTAGTGATGTACAGTAGTCACTTTCCATTAGAGAGATGTTCTATATAGTATACAGACATCTGCTCCGCGGTGCGAAGCAGATTCTTTTAACCGCCTTCCCGTCACTCTGTGAGATAGCATCATGTTTGAATCGCATCACTTATTGTATATATTTTATCAGCAGACGCCATATGTTTCCTTGTCACTTTGCTGACTGGGTCCAGGAGAGTATAAACTTGCCTGTATTTCTATGCTGGACTATTCCTCCGTTTTAATGGAATTTATCCATTCAAAACCCTGTCTAATCTAGCCCCTAGTGAGGCTTGTAGGGACAGGAATACCCCCAGTTAAACCCTGTACCTGGGACACCCACGTGAGTCTCCTTTACATGGGGGGAACAGACGTGCCTTGGGGTTGAGCCATTGGCCTCTGCGGCAGCTCCTCTCCGGATCTGCTGGCAATGCTAACCATTGATTGTTTACATTAAAAATACCGACCCCCTGAAAAGATCCGACTTCATAACGTGTGTTAGGAGGATGTCTCTGTCCCTCACTCTCCCAATCAGGGGAAGAGAATTGCAAAAATATTCCCTGTTTAGAGTTAAATTACTGTCTTTAATTAATCCAGGAGAGAACAGTAAATCCAGCAAGATGGCTTTTATGGGCTAGATTCTGCCCTTTCCAGACACAGGGGGGGGTTTAAAAATGGGCTTCTCTGAAATGGTGGCGGAGCTTTCTCTCTGGCTCTCCGTATTATTGGAGTTGTATATTATGTATGCTCCTTAAAACGGGGTTAATTTAAAAAAAAACAACGTGCGCGAGGATCCTAGAGCCTTTCCCTGGTCAGTTACACTAGCGGAGTTTCCTGCATTCAGCTGTTGATTCCTGGTGGCATCCTTTACCTTCTAATCCCTTCTCCCTGCCTCAGCCTAGCTGTCTTCTCCGAGTTATTACGGCACACTTTCCCAGCTGAGCTTTAGATGAAGTCCCTCTGTGACCCGCTGTTGCCTTTGATTTCTCTATGCTCTCCCGAGAGATCCCGAATCTTAAGAATGGGGAAATCTTGGAAAGGAAAGACCGGGTTTAAAGGAGACGGCAACTTTCCCGAGCTTCTGACAACTGCTTGCCTGGTGTTGCTGCCTGCAAGACATCAGGTCCTCTCAGCCAAAGATTTCCTTCTCTCCCTGACGCCAATGAAAGTTGACCAAACGAAATGAAGGCCTGGGTGTTCATATATTAGGGATTCTCTATGTATTGCGTGCCTCCCATATGTATGGGGTATGTTCCATAATATAATTATACCCAGGTATTATCTAAGGAGCACAGTACGTCCTGGGTAAGTATTGGCAATGAAAATGAAATTGACAGATGATGTTACGCTACAATCAGTTTTAAAAGGCCAACCAGCTAGCAGCTGTTAACAAAGTAATTTTTCCCTTTCACTCCTCACCGCCAGGCGCCTGTTCACCTTGATAAGTTTGTATTTTCGCTTGCGATGCATCCTACCAAATAACTGGAAGTTTTTCAACTTCAGAAAAGACTGCGGGCCGGAGCCCCAGCCAGTGGGCGCTGGATCGGGCCCTACAAGGACAAGGCTGATGTCTCTGGATTGCTCAGAAATGAATCGCCGGTTGCCCCTAGTGTGGCTGGGCCCCCCCTTACCCTGACTCTGGGCTCGGTGAGATTGGTCCACACAGCGATCTCCTCTCTCATGCTCATGTCCGGGTAGCGGTTCCTCTGGAAAGTGGCTTCCAACTCCTGCAACTGCTGGCTGGTGAAATGAGTTCTTTGCCGCCTCTGTTTCTTCTTCTTCGCCGGATCGTCAGGGTTTCCATCTTCGCTCTTCTGTTCGCCGCTCCGGTCTTTTTCTGTTAAAAACAACAAGGCACCGAGACCCGAGCGGTGACACACACGGACTTGGCCTCCTGGCCCCTAGATCTCCCTCCTCCCCCAGCCATTTGGAGAAGGTACAAAACAAAATCCTCTTTTTAAAAATCTCCTTCATACGTGCCTCTGCCGTACAAGGCTGTTTCCTACCACAGGCCCGGCGCGTTTTCTGTTTCAACCAGCGCCGCGTGATTCAGAAAGGTTTCCTGAAAAAATGTCCCCCTGAAATTTATTTCCCAACCAATAGAGTTTTCAGTTATCCTCTCCTCTAGGCCTGTCCTTTTATCCAGGGGGCTCTGAAACTTACAGAGGGGAAGAAACTTATTTCTAATTGGCTCGGCTTTTAGATTGGAAGCTTCTTGGCAAAATAATAATAATTAGTAATAAATCTATTTAAAAATCGTTTCTCTGCTTTGTGGGTGTTTTTTTTTCTCTCTCTCTCTCTAAAGAGAAACTTCTGCTCGAGTGCATTATTGTTGTATATGGTCATTTCCCCACCGTATTAATCTCCGAAAACGTCAGAGTGTGTAAAATAAAACATGAATAAATCGAAAAGGTGAACTCTCCTTCCCCTCGGGAATATTAGAATTTATTTAAGCAGAGAATGATCCATTAAAGGCTTTATCCAAAAATCGAGTAAAAGGTAAGAAACGCTGGTAGCTGTCTGCAACATTCCCCTTTGGTGAATTGTGTTTGTCCAAATTTGTAGAAGGAATTCAACACAATCGCTTGATATAACTAGGGAAAAATAGAAAATCTACCTAAAATCAAGGGGGAAACGCGCTGATCTTTTTATATTTTTGAATACATTTTTGGATTTACACACATGGAATGAGGAATTCGATACATTATTTGAACGGATTTAAATTATAAATGTGTCGAGATAAAATCTCCCTCCCTGCATATATCTATAAAACACTTCTGTAGATGTATATACATAGATATATAATATGTTTAATACATATGTATGCCAATGTAAGGATTTAAACTATACCAATAAAATATACTAATAATTTTATTAATGTATAGAGATAAAATCTCCCTCCCTACATATATCTATAAAACACGTCTGTAGATGTATATACATAGATATATAATATGTATAATACATATGTATGTCAGTGTACAATTTTGATCTATTTATTTTCACAATAGCCACACATTACTTTAAATAACTGCGTGCATATATGCCACACGTGTATGTTGTTTCTCTCTCGCGCTCTCTCTCTAATTTTGATGTATTTATTTTAATATATATACATACAAATATTAGTGTATAATATACATATATATACAAATGTAATACTAATCTATATTACACACAATAACTAAATCAAAATTAGAGAGAGAGAAATACACACACGTGTATATTCAAACGCATCCCTTTGTACTCATACACATGAGTTTGACTTGATTTTGGAGGGTCTTTTTGAGAGGAATTCACATGGAGGGATAGCTAAATCATGAGACTATTCTGCGGTGTTGTTCATCATAAAGGTAGGAGGAATGTAAAGATAATGCTAACGTATTGAAATCGAGACTTCCTTTCAGAGCCTGCTAATAATAATATTTTAAAATGAATTAACAATAATCCTTGCAAAACAATTGATTCCTCATACTTGAAAAGACTCTGAACCTAGGCTTCCCTGGGAACTCTTGGAATAAAAATGCAGGACCTCAAACGGTTAAATGGAAACCCAAGGGTGGTAAATGGGCTTATTGCAGCCCGGATGGCCACTATTTCCAGTAAGTGGTTTGCAGAGCAAACAAGGCCTCGAACAGAAACCCCATTTAAATATCCTTGGTGGCCAGTCAATTTCCCCCTCCCTCGCTGCCTTTGCAACTAATTGTGTTCCCAAAAATTCGCGGCTGCTGTAAATGTGTGTCTCTGCGAACCGAGTCTACATGACCTAACTGTAAAGGCTGCATGTAAAAATGATTTCATTTTTGAACACACAAATCTTTCTGGCAGACAGTTTTTTCCACCCCTCGGTGTCTGGGGCCGCTTCTCGTGCAGGCAGGAGAGCAAACAAGTAAGGAAAAATCAGTGTCCTCAAAGAAACCATCCATCAAAGTGATTGCAATCTTTGCATTTGATTTATCCCTCCTATGATTTCCATGAAAAATGCTGTCTGGTCATAAGGCGGTGATACCATTTCAAATCATAATAACACACATTAGTCTTAATTGGCATTAGCACACTTTTCCATTCAAAAGTGAAAGGTATTTTGTGAATTCTCTTAAGACTAAATGGAACCTGCTATTTAGTTTCCTTCGAATGTATGGGTCAGCTTTTAGGGGTAGAGCAAAATGGAGCAATTATCCCCTACAGTATTTCAAGAGGGGGGGGAACCCACACACCTCTAAGCACCCCCCTCTCCAGACTACACTCAAAGCCTTGTTTTCAAATCAGATTTGGAGGCAGAAACGAACATGTTTGCTGCCATGTCAGCATTCGGATTTGTTTTGGTTGCAGGCACAAGACCCGTTTAAATTTAAAATAACCATCAATTAAAAAAAAAACAACTACCCTCTATGCAGGGAAATTTTGAAGAAGGAACCACGCGCTGTTTTCCGTAGTCCATATTTTCCAGGCCTTTTTGCTTCCTTTATACGGTGTTTCTTGTCATTAGAGGGACGACTACTGTTTTAATTAAATACAAACTAGGAAACCACAGCTTTCCCTACAATAATTGCACATGTTCAACAGGCGGATATAAAAGCGGAGACCAAACGACTCCTGTTTAGATCCAACTCAGTTCTTGTAAAATGCAATGGATTATTCCCCATCTATACATAAAATTAAAAATTAGGCTTTGTAACGCTTACCCCATATAATAATAAATCTGAGCTGCCTGGTCTCTCTCCAGTCCCCTCCTCATCCCCCCTCCTAATGCTTTGCAGTTTCCCCCCCTCCTCTGACGGAGAGATCCTTTTACATGTCTGTACAGCCAGAGCTGGAAAATAAACCCCGGCAGAGCTGACATTATTTCAGAAATATTCTGCAAAACCGCACTCCCCGTGGTAACCCCCCTGATAAATTAATATCTGTAAAAAAAAAACCCCTGCTTCTCAGCTTGAAGTTGGTAGCAATATTCTTCCATTCCCTAGACTGTCAGAGCCGGGGCATGGAAGAGGGTCAGTTCGGTATCTGTGGTCGCCCCCATCCACCTTCCCGGTTTGGCTCTAATTAATTCTAGGGATTACACCCACCCACCCACCACCACCACCTGGCATTTCAATCTCTCTGGTGCATCCCGCCTGGGAAGGACAGTCTCTTGTGCAGCGAGCATTAGAATTAATCAAGCAGGGAAAGAAAGAAAGGAAGGAAGGAAGAAGAGGAAGTGAAAGGCTTTTACCTGGGATTTCTGTATCTGACGATTCACTGGCTGAATTCTCCATCGGATCTCTGGATTCAGAAGATCTTTGCAAATGGAAGCTGGAAGCCATGTCATGGGAAGGCTGGGGTCTTAAACTCTCTGGCAGTCTTTCCAAATTCATCCCACCTTTAAAGGAATCCATGGCAAGGAGGCTGGGTTGATTTTGGTTTATGCAGGTGTTTATTCCACAATATATATATATATATATATCAAGGTCTGAAAATCCACTTAGTACTAGTTATGGATTGCTTTACTTTATTGTTATTTTCAAAGAGTCAGAAGAAGAGCTTTGAGAAATGCCTAGAAGCCCGATTGTCTTTGCTTTGCAATAGCTGCACCGGTCCAACCGCGTATGCATGAAAGTGGTAAAGATCCCTGGTAGAAAAATGCGGGTTGCGAGTTGGATAGTTTCAAACTAAAGAGATTAAAGCGACCTGCCCTAGAACAAATGCCTGTAGTTAAAGCGAGCTCCTCCCACTTAAGGTTAAAACCTCCCAGTCTCGCTAATATATCACCCCATCTAGCGCTCACTCAGCCTAATCGAGTTGGAAGAACCTCCTGCAAACTCCCCATAGATGTGAGCTGTCTCTAAGGCGCCCTGGAATACTAGCTGCACGTTTCTTAAAGCCACAGCGCTCTCCCTCTGCCCCGGGATCCCGGCGGAGTGTCTCTCCACTGTTAGGAGCCTCGTTGGTCTCTTGCCCTCTCTGCTCCTCTTGCTGGAGGAAGAAACGTCTTTTTGTCCCCGCGCTGGCTCTTACCATCGCAAGCCCTAAACCAATCAGCGCCCCCCCCCCTCCCCAAACTTTCCCCCAAAGCCAGTGATTTATTCCGCGCGCAGCATTAGCTCTTTGACCATCTACGCGATCTGTTAAGCCCCAAATATTTAAAAAACACATTTCAGAGACTAATCTAAATAGATCAAATTCTTTCCAGTCTTCTGCAAAGCAGATCTAGGCATCTTCCCCCCCCCCTTCCCCCAAGCAGGGCAGGCGCAGAATTGCATTTTGCACGGGAATGGTTACTCCCGCTGGGTACACTCGCTGTACAATTAAGCACAAGGAAGAAGTTGCTCCTTTCAACTTGCTTATCTATTGGGAGAAATAAACGTGCGTTCCCATTTCGCTGCGAGACTACACTTTTAAGCCTGCGGACAAGCAGTTTTATTGTGGACGTTTCTGAGGCACGTTTTAAGGGGGAAAATCTGCTTGGGGGGGTGGGGTATTTCCTAGGAAGTCAAAGAATATTTGGTAACAAAAATGAAACCTTCCTCGTACGCTCCCCTTTCGTGCTGCAAGAGGCAGCCCACCTCCCTGGCTCGCCGTGGCCTGTGTTATCACTTTCACAAGGGTTTGTACAGAGATTGAGAGATGTGACCTCGATTTGAGTTAATCAGGCAGCAGAGCTCGGGGACAGCGGATAAATATTGGGCGCTAACTGGCTTTTGTTGTTGTTGTTTTTCCCTCCGCACTTCGAAGCGGAAATAATCAAGGGCCGATTTCTCCTCTGATTTACACGCCTGGATTTGGGGCTCGTCAGGTAGAGCAGGCTGCGGCCCAAACGTGTTTCCTATTTGTTGGCGTGCAAGAAACACAGCACAAGCGCCTAAGGTTTCATCCCCAGCCTCCCGGGTCGGGCTGGGGTGCTGGGAAAGCAGGCGAGGAGTGAATTCCGGATTCCGGGGTGGTGGAGAATTTCCTATGGCCCTGTGGTTTGAAAGCTACAAATAGGAAGCGAGTCCCTTTGCTTTGGGGCTTATAACATGGACTCGTAGTAGCCTGGCACCCATTTTTGAGCAGCCCTCACTAAAGCGCTGCACGATGCGTTTGGCTGGAGACAGGCAGGTCTCGGGTTCTCTGGCTCTGCCTGTTGGTCCTAACATCTCTGGCAGGAGGGTGTGGTGTCACTTTAGTGACTAAATAATGAGTTGTTTACAGATCTAGTAAACAATCCGATCCCCCTGAACTTCCCCCCCACAGAGGCCTTCTTGTTAGGAGCCCCTGCTAAAGCTAGTTAAACAGCCCCACTCTCTCTGGGTTGGCACAAACCAGTCCCATTGGGGTCTCTCTCTGTCTTTTTCTGGCTGTTTCTTAAAAGGGGAACAACTGTCCCCCCCCCCCCATGCTCGGTGTATGAGCCTTCCATCTAAGGCATCCACAGGGAGAATTTAAATCCCTAACCTACCGATGGAAACCAAGTCTGCACACACAACCCTAAACTATTTTCCCACCGAAGTTTTTATTTCCAGTGAAGGTTTAATAGATTCGTTGTGGTTTGATCGCTCCCTAACTATAATCTAATAAATATAACATTGCTTCGTGTTGCAATAAAACGGCCTGTTTTACTTTTCTGGAAAACTCCATTATTGCAGCGTATTTACAATCCCTTCATGTGGCTATAATAACTCCTTCAACTTTATAAATTCCACACTCATCTTTTCTTCCTTTCGAAAGAGCATTTAACCTCCCCTTTTGGGGGACAAACCTTGATTTAAGAAAGAACAGCATAAAGTACTCTTGAAAAACACTTCCGTCTCAGTGGACCTTTCCAGTCCCTTTCCAAAGCCCACGAGAGTCCAGGCTCTCCAAAGCCCAGGGTCTGGAAGTCGATGGGAGTTTTGCCTGAGTGAGGACTGCTGCAAAGTCCTTCCTCGAGGCAAGACTGATTTCCCCATCTTTCAGCACTTTATCCTTGGCAGTGAACTCTCTGTGACCCATAGAAAGTGGCTGGTTGTTCTAGGGATGGATTTCAGGCTTGGAGATCTGGGCAATTTTTAAAGGGAGAAAACAGTGTCCAAAAATGTAATAAGAGAAGGATCCTGTCCAGCAAGTGTCAATATCAGGTTTGGAAGTGCCATCCAAACGCAGGGCCGCTTCGCAATTGTCCTCTGCGCCTGTGCTGTTGTATCTTCGTGAATGTCAGCTTTCTAATGCCTCCCAAGGTCAATCGCCAGCCACCGGCCCTCTGAGGGTGTGGCCGCCACTTCTACACTAGTCTCATGCTGTTCAGCACCGAGAGTTATTTTTCGTATGAGTAGGGACCCGGGCTTCACGTGGCTGATACCAGGGCAGGTGAATCACCTGGTTACAAGCCACGGTGTCTGCGTAAACAAATGTGGGGGTTTCTCTCTCTCTTTTTTTAAATTTTTTTTTTTAAAAAACCCTTTGATTAAAAATATCAGTTTCACTGTAACTTTAAAAAAATGTTTAAAATCTCCAACAGATCTTTGGCATCCCCGTTCAATGTGTTCGGCGCATTCTCAGAATTGCCTGCCCTCTTGACAAAGCGCATTTCATTATCTAGGTCGCAGCAGGCACCATTTTTTTTTTTGCATCAGTTTGCTCCCTCCGTCCACTCCCCAGCCTGTGACCTTTGGGCTGTTTTACAGCATAGGGGAGGGGGATGTTTATGGTGATTTCAGACACTAAAGAAACCCAGTGTTGCCGTGGGGGCAATCAATCCCTTGCTTTGGAGCTTCCCAAATACCCCAGCAGGCCAGTGAAAAATACCCCGGCAAGCCACTTTTCCTGAAGGACACCTCGAAAGCACAAGGGAGAGCCTGGACTTGTGGCAACGTCTCGTTGGGCCCGATCCTGCATTACTGCTCCCTTAACCCCACGGGGGAGTTTTGGGTGTGCGCGGAATGCAGGATGGGGCCCGGTCCCCGGGCCCGCACCTGTTCGCAGCGCAGTAACCCGGTCTATTAGCACTCCACAGGTCTGTCATCTTCCCCAGCCCACCCGTGGGGCAGACGCGTCTGATCTGCGGAACATCCTGCCCCGCAGAGCTGCAAGGCCCCTCCGGTATTGTCCATATTACATCAAAGTAATACCAAGGTCCTATTCCCTTTTCCTTTCTAGCTGACTTCGCTGAACTCACCCTGGAACTGTGGGTACACATGCTTGACACGCTTGGAAAAGTGCAGGTCTAGTAATAGGCAGGGGAGGGTTTTTTGGCCGCAAAGTGCCAGATGACAGCCTTCCAGGGCTCCTGCTTTGCCAGCCAGTGAATCACTGGCAGGCAGGTAGTGGGGACGATTTAAAAAGCAAACTCGTGGAAACGGGATCTTCACTAGGGAAGGGGGTAGGGGGCAAGGGACCCAGGGCACAGATCTGGTTCTTTCTCTAGAAAAATAACGGTCTCCTCTTTATCTTCTCTGCTCAGTTTAACTGATCCATCCTGACACTCGATTTTGCTTTCAAATCAAGCAAAGATGTGGAAAGGAACTTTCTGAACTGTTTCACGGACGGGGGATGGAAGCATGTTCCCATTCTTCAGTTTTTCCTCCCTGAGATTTATTTTGGGCTTCCTCTACCATTCTCTCTGTGCTTGCCCAGTGTATTTCTTTTTAAAAGCTATAGTGGGGATTTGGAGGAGGAGACACTCAGGCCCAAGAGAGCCATGTAGTGTCAGTATGTAACATTAAAAACGGGAAGGGGAGCTGAATGAGGGATACCCCAAACGCTTAGCAGGTACAACTTCTCTCGCAACAGTTTTGATCCGGGAGGGTTTGTTTTTGCAGTTCAGCACAGCAACAGATAGCTTGAAAATGACAGTGGATAACTTCTCTGAATTGCATATGAATTATATCTATAGGTACAAAGCTCTTAAACCGATTTCATACCAGAGTCGGTCAAGTTTGAATTAAAATACATTTAAGAATTATGTGCACACAGGGCTAATCGTGCGATTTTTAGGTTATTTAAAAGGGACACCCTTTAAAAATGCATCTTGTATTTGATTTATACACCTCCTTGACTTAAAATGAATTGAGTCCTTCTGAAAAGAATAATGGAAATGGGAGATAATGATTCATATATTTTCTCTTTCTAGCTCAAAAATTTGATCTGATCTGGAGTATGTTGTTGTTTTTTTTTAATTCCTTTATAGTTTCCCTTCTTTGCAGCCCAAAACAGGTTTGGACAAATAGCAAACCATGAGCACAGGATCTCCTGGCGCTTTTGCTGAGTTCTCTCACAGGTCTGAACCAGAAGCGTTTTGTCTCTGTCCCAATCTGTAGTGATGCGAGACTACACAGGAACTTCTGAAAGGAAAGTGTGAACAGGAGGGCTGATATAATCTGACCCTTAAAGCGGTATGAAAATTAGAGGATTTTTAAAATTGTTTTTTGTTGTTGGGGTTTTGTTTACATGCCTACCCTAAGGTTTCTTTTACCTTTTATAACAGAGTTTTAAAAGGTTGCGTGTTTTAGATTCAAAACTTCCCCAAACTTTCTTCCGCTACGGAAAGGCACAGCGTTGCCCTCAGCATCGGACATATCCCCTACCCATGGGTAGGGGATATGTATTTATTATCGCGCTCGATCTCAGGGGTGCTATGCTTTGGGCTTGAGAAAATGAGTTCTCTATGGCTAATGTTTCTCTAAATGGCTATTAGAGCGCCAGAGCTGGGCTCGGTATTCCTTAGCCAAGCAGGGCTCCCAGAGACGTTAATTGGGCTAGAGGGGCCCGGGCATGACCCCCTCTGCTCTCAAAAGAAAATGGAGTTTATTCCTTCTCTAAGGGAGTCTTTGCATTCATTTCAAGCAGCTCTGGGTCATGTCCT